AGATTGTGGGAGTCGACCCAACCAAACAGCACTGAAGCTGTGACAAGGAGGGAGTCTGGAAGCTGGAGGAAAAGTCAGAAAAAATATAAGAAAGCTGTGAGCATACTAACAGTGTCACATCCCTGTTTCCGGAGCCATGCAACAAGGGCTGCCTCACTCTGGACATTTCCAAGAAAATGACCTTTCAGATGTCTGTCCCATGTAGAAAGAAAACATGAACGAATATCGAACATATTGAAGTTGAAGAAAGGAGACTCACAGGGTGTTCTCACAACTGTTCAATGCTTACACAACCTATACAGAAGATTGGGAGAGGACGGCGAACTGATGGCCAACTGGCTGTTAATAAAATGGATTTTGAAGTGATGGCATCATGGCCAGTTGATGGCGATCAAACTATAAAACAATAGAAGGTTTGATCAAATAAACAAATTAAATAATTATAACTCAATGTATCAATCCATTTGCGCAATTTGGCATTGACTATGACAGGAGCCATTTCAACTTGTCACAAAAAGTTTGCAGCCAACCAATGTATATTTCAAAATACAGATGAGACAGAGAACACGAAACTAAGTCAATTAGCAGACGAAGAAGTAGCTGTAGGATTGTTTGGCCTTCCGATGCAGCAAACATCGGCCTCGCTGCACATCACATTAGCATCAGCAGCAGTACAGATGCACCTGATGCAGCAGCATGAAAGCAGATTCACGCAGTTCTTGATGCACTTGGCTGACAGTCAGAAAGGCAGGCATGATGTCAGTTATCTCCCAAATGCTGATCAGCTTTATCATCAGGGCATTGTAACACTGATAATAAAAGTTTTAAAAAAATGCTTGCCAGGAGAGTCGAAGGCGCTTATGGTGGACCCCAGTAATGCAAGTGTATATACAGGAGGGTGTGGGGCATGCCTGAACACCGCAGGCTCAAGATCAGCCATAACGAGTCTGACTCGACATGTGGTGGTGGTATGGAAGGCAATATGATACATGATTTCCTTTGCAATCTGCTCCCTTGTAAAGGCTACAAAACCATTGACCTAAATGCAAAATAAGGTTCGACAATGTAAAAGATAAATTCACTGGAACTTACTGCGATGGGGAGCATGAGCACGTAAGGGTGAGTAAACATTTGCAAAAGGCCCAGAATCTTATCCTTTAGGGCTATGCCCCACAATACATCACTTCCAAGGTCATAACTCACGCGAGGGTCGTCCAAGGACTGTCCTGCTACTCACCTAGTATCATAAAGAAACTGTGATAACCATGGACTCACCTAGACTGAAATCAGACTAGTGAATAAAAACAAGAATGACACATACCATGAGCAACATGTCGTTGTGCGCCATGGGCAACTTGGTTACTGTGGTCAAAACTAGAGATGAATCAGCAGCTGCAGATATCCAGAAATTAAGATGCAGACCGGTTTCCAACTCTTCAGCAGTGACATTTGCCTTGATGAGGCATGAGGGCCAGATGGTACAGATAAGTGAAAGTAGCAAAACCCTGCCAGTAATGGAACACATGAGGAACATGCGGGATTTGCAAGGTAAGGAAACAACTTACAGTCAACATGGTCAAGGCAGAGAGCTGGGTGTCATAAACATATGACTCATGCTCGAGTCCTGCTGAGGAATCTATATTGGACTCAAAGTTTGCCATGATCGAAATACTAATGAGTGAGTGTGGTACAAAGACCGTATTGAAAGAAAATTCTATACCCTGATGGTCATTGTTAGTCATTAGACATGCACTTATCCAATTATATCACACTGTGAACATGAGGCATTCACTGTCGATGGGCTGTCAGAGTGCCATTGAGAGAAGATTACGTGTTCACCTGATGAAACTATATTATTGTCACAAGGCCAATGCTGCTGGTGTGTTGTAGTTTAATTGGGGGTGTTGGAGTGCGTTGTACATAATATTTGGGTGGCAGTTTTATTACATGTATTCCCCCTTCTGGTAGGGTGTTCTCAACATAAGCTTTAGTAACATCCCTCTATGTCCATTGATGTTCCTGGGCTGGGTTGAGATACGCCATCCCAATGGCTCATGTAGTCCCAAACCTTGCGTAATAATAGGAAAAGTTACTAGTTTTCATAATCAAGTTCTACTTCAGAGTCATACATCTCTTCAAATTCGCTTACGAGTGACTCAGTGCTGCTGCTGAACCGCTTGGTGCAGTCACCTATTGGGGGAGGGTCATCATCCCTTTCAGAGTCACTATCATTATCTGCTTCCTCTTCATCTCCGCCTTCAGCTTCTAAGACATGTGTGATATCATCTGTGGGGGTAGCCTGGACCTCCCTGGACCTGCGGAGCGCAGTTGTGAGAGAATATCTGTCCAGCACCTAAACCAAAGTGAAACCGCTGTGACGCTTGGACCCGCGCTGAGCAGGAAAGAGCCTATTTTCATATTGATGTCAAGGAGTATAGAACACTATCAGTTTCCCTATCCTTATCCGACCCTCGTACATCAAGTAACCCCTGTGCGAAGCTGAACCCGCACTTTCCCGTGCATCAGCCGTATTGGACGTGCATTCCCGCGCTTTGGATACCTCGGAAATGCATTAGGAAGGTCCCTTGTCTATCCATAGTCCATCCAAATTCCATTGGTATGTGAATTTCCTTGCCTTGAGGCTTGTAAAATGTGTTGCAGCCTTATTACATGTCCTTACATATTTCCTATATTTCCTATCCCTTCCTTCTCTGAGTGAGAGTCTAGACAGTATAAGTTGACTATTACTTGGGACTACTACTACACTCCCTCATACTGGATACCTCTCCCTATAGGTTTACCTTCGAAGTAGTCCCTTGTAGTGTGCGCTTTTCAGCCCCTATTAGGTCCCTATACCTCTCTATACCTAGACTTTCCTTACCTCGCAATATACCTTTGCCCTCACTCTCTCCACACCTCGTTCCTTAACCTCCCTATACCTTGTCCACACTTTCCCATGCTTTCCTGTGCTTCGGATAGCCTCAGATAGATTCCTATACCTCGCGCATACCTGTCTGCTATTTTCCTGTGCTTAGCACGCTCTCGGGTTGCACACATCCATCATCATTCTAGTAGCAATTCCCTTTAGGGTCAAACATGTCTGTTTAGACATAGCAGCTAGGCATTAGCTTGACCCAACCTTTTCTTGCCACCCAGCAAGGTTGTTGTTTCCACACTGCATCATCATATCGCGGTCCATGAACCTAAAATCATAAGCTCCCTAAGTGTTGTATGTGAAGTGGGACCACTACTCACCGATTGATGTAGTATTTGCGCCAATCGTCCTTGTCCCGCGCAGACACTGACACTCCCAAGCCATCAGGGTATTCCCTGCAGCTAGCGAACGAAGGAATAACATGGCATCCCCTAAGAATATCAGCTGGATCCAGAAAATCAACCAAGTACCCGACCTCCAGAGACTGACATTTGACTCAATTGAGGGTAGAATCGTCCCAGGAGCAGAGCTGCTGCATAGGCTCGTACCAGCAGATCCATATAAACTCCATCTGCAAGGGAGTATAGTCCACTGACTCCGACGACAATTACATTTACATGATAGATGCCTAGCACCTTACCATAAGAAAATCTGTGATCCTGGGGCTCCATATCATTGTTGGGGTGTAACACCATGATGTTGCAATGGGATGTACATGGGTTAATGACATCTTGTGTGCGATAAACATTATATGTGGTGTAATTCACCCTAATGATGTTATGGTGGTACATTCGGTTGTCTTTGAGGATAATAGAGTTTGAATGATCAGATTCTGGGAGATTTCTTGAGATATTGATCTGATGTAGTAAATTTTCCTTGAGTTTTGGCACGAAATTCTACAGAGGTCAGAGGGTGTTTGTGGAAACACGAATGAACTAACCTTTATTGCCAGATCACCTTTATGACAGCACAAGTATGACCCAATACGGACTGGGTACTTTTGCATCATGCTGATGTGATGGTGAACATGCAGATTTCTTGCTAGTTCAGTGATTTCGGTTTGGGGGCAATGAGCAAGTTTGTCACCTATCCGGCGAATACAAACCTGCCATCGTTTGATCTGAGTGAGCTGTTTGACAAAGGCCCTCCGGTCCGTGCGCTTATATCTAGCCTTGGGTGAATGGTGCTCCAGTTCACCCTGTGGAAGTGAGTAAGTGGAATGTATATATTGGCAGGGGATGGACCGGTTTGGTGCTGTATGAATCATAAGTACCATACTTCCAGATTGTTGATATATAATCTCCTAATGTGTGAAACTTGTAAGTCTGAAAATTAAAGACCTTCGTACGCTGCACACTTTTGGCAGCATGATCTGGCCCAGCCAAGTCCCCTTGTTGAATAACACCAGGGATACCTTTGGGCTTCTGAACTCCCATTCATTTTAGCGCCTGTGTAGTTTGGCGTCGAGTGTGAGCCAATGTCTCCTGACAAAGTCAACTCGTCCATGATGTCAAGGGTCAAATCTGAGTGCATTTGGAGCTTGGCCAGTCCATGCCAATGTGCCATTGTAAATAGCAGCTTAAGAACTCTTCCATTGTGTGGCTCAGGAAGGAGATGGTTGAAGACAGGTATGGAACACTGCACATTGGATCAGCTCTATCCGACAGTGATAAAGATCAAATCCCACCTGGAGGAGGTCTTCAAAATCTCGAGCTGCCATTTGTTTCATCTCTGAGGAGTTGGAAATTTTTTTGTGAATGATAGCTTGCCCGAATGTCGGAGTCTGCCTGTATCTTGTAAAAATCAGTTGAATGCGGTGAGTATATTAGAATATATACTATACCTCCTGTCTAATTCATGGATGAGGCCCTTGTCCTCCGTGCAAATAATGTGTAACAGGTGAATGAAAAGTGCCTTCCAAACGCCAATCTCAAACTCATATAACAGATTGACTACAAGTGCGCGAAATATATTAAACCCTAGAGCACAAGGCGATCTGAAAATGCATTCTGAGGGATTGTTTAGCCAGTGTTCGTGACAAATATTCAAGGCTCACTGAGGTAGGGACCCAAGACTGTGGTTTGAGAATATGTTCCACCAGAACGTTGCTGATAGCGTAGTCCTCCTTGTAAATCATTTTGCAGGCAGAACCTACCATAACTTGTCTTCTCGAGTCGTTGCATTCCAGAGTTGTGTGTTGCCATCTATCCTGAGGCATTCCCATGTTCTGAATCCAATCCTTTCATATAAGGCATCGAGGACATGGACATCCTCCTAGGTTTCGAACTGTAGCAATAAGTACTCTGATGAAATAATAAATAAAGATATTCATCTCGCTGAAAGTGACGTACTTTTCTGGATAGTCTGCTGAGTAGGTAAAGATTCTTGGGTAGAATCTGTGCTTGAGACCATCACAGGAGGAGATCATGATACCATGCTCATATGCTGTAGGTGTACAACACAGAGTGGGGCTATACAAAGATGGCTCCAAACTGATATCTTTATGTTGTGGTCTTGCACTGCCTATCTGCTATACTTGTGGACAAGTGCGTTCGACCCAGGAGTCTGCGGTCTGGGAATAGTTTTGGGGGTCAGTGGGTGATGTGAGGTCAATAATCCGAGCGTGGGAAACAATGTCCGAAGGTATAATTATGATGTCAGATGCAAAAGCATTGGGTCCGATGTTTTTCGGGTTTCGGGTTATCGGGTTCGGGTTCGGGTGTATCGGAAACTAATAGTAACACTATAGCGAGCGTTGGGGAAGCGAGCGGTGTGCACAATGATAATGATGATGGATATGGATGGTGAAGGAACGATGATATTCACAATGTCAACTAAGAACTATGAAATATCAGGTTTGACCCCTAAGCGTCGGAGACAATTCTCCTCTACTCGGATGATGATGATGCTATGGGGAGTCCAATATTTAAGTAGATACATAAAAATCCGGAACCCTATAGGCGAAAGTAGTAGCGCAATATTTCGGATCCGATGTCCTATGTAATAAGACATGAGGTACTGCGGACTATGGGAATACATGTAATAACACAGTCGACAATGTTAGCGATGTGAAAACAAGTAACTACACACCTAGTGGGGCTAGCACAATGAGACTGGCCATAGGTAGAACAAGTGCGCGCAATATCCAATCGGCTGATGCGAAACCTGATGCGAAACCCGATGTCCGATGTCTGATGTCCGATGTCCGATGTCCGATGTTTTCGGGTTTGGTGTGTATTGAGTTGGATATGATAGGGAATGATTTGGGCAATGATTAGCATTCACATGCATCGGAAAATAGACCTCTACGAGGCCACAAGGACTCCAAGTCCTACAACGCCTCGAGGAACTTGTGATCTAGCAAGATCTTCCACTGTTCATAGAAGAATTCTCTATGACAGTGTGTTGCGCAGTCACTAGTCATGCCATTCCCACCTGTAAAATCCTTGAACGAGTCTGGAAGCTGCAAATGCAATACATAATTAAGTTATACAGTACAGCCGACAGTGTGAAAAGACATACCGTCTCGAAATATGCCACGTGAGTGCTCAGATTGCACGATGGCTTGCATTGCCGATACTTCGACTCGTTGCCAAAATACATATAGGTAGGCCACAGCTTAGAATTGCTGAATGAAGTAAGCTGTGTAGTGTCGGACCAAAACATAAGGCCAGCAACGATCCAAGGTAATTCACAGCCAGGTTCTGCGGGCAATTCTTGCAGTGCGGTATTGGCGTCGTAAAACGCTGGGGACATGTACAGGGTCACCATATATTGAGACTTCAGCATCTAAGTGGGGAGGCGTCCAACGCAACTGGTACAGCTCATAATGAAACAGCTTGTCATCTCAGGGATTAGCAAGCTTCTCCCTCAAAACAGCGACAAGGGACCGATGATATAAATGGGCAGCTGCTTCATAAGTATGAGCACCTGGATTTTTGGTGGTGCGTGATGAAGGCACCTTGATGGAGATCAGGCTTCTACGCCATCCAGCATCTTCATCCTCCCATTCTTCTCCATCTCCCTCCTGGTACTCATTTGAGCCTAGAACATAATTGATGTTCTTCCATTTTGTGGAGCTCACATTGGCAGCGTTGAAAGAAGGACTGCCCAAAATCTCCAGCAATTCTTTATAGTCTCATTGTGACTTTTGCAATCCCCGATTCCAATACCAGTCACCAAGCTGAAAGGACAATTGATTAGGATAGGGGTAGTAACCACGGCTAGGAGGTTCCTGAGTTGCCTCAATGACTTGAGAGGTGCTAGGTATGAACGAGAGGTCTGTCATAGTGACGTACTCCTCCGGATCATGTGATGGTGGTGTTGCTGGAGAAATATTGGCGAATGAGGCCGAAAATGTTTGGGGGTGTGCGAAATACTGTGCGCACAGGTAACATTGGCTGGACTGCTGCATAAACAAGATGTCCTACATATTCAGGAATTTGATCCCTGAGTTCAGCAGGAATGGTAGGTGGGGGTTGGGGAAGCATGTCCCTGAATCTCAGAGGCAGCTGTTGATTCTGACGCCTCGGCCTGTGTTGTGTTAAGCTTAAGTCCTCTCCAACATCGAGAGGCCTTACTCCCAATTCATCAATTTCAACCTCTGCTGGATGATGGAGGGATGGATTTGCCAAATCAGAACATGGTGAAGCATTGGCTTCAACGGTAGACAAAGCAGATGATAGAATGGTTGATGTATTGTCAACTGCAGCAACAGTCGCCTTCTTTGAGATCCGCAGCTTTTTCTTGCAACCAACGAAGTCTTTCAAGGACGAGATCGCCGATGATAGACGCTTTTTCGTGGCTGAACATGAGTGCTGGTGTTGAGTGTAATAATTCTGAGCAGTAAAAGAGCACTTGCAAATGCAGGTGTAACTGGACATGGGCCTGAAGGAATAAGACCATGAACACTGACGAATTAATTAGATGAACTTTATGCGATATGATGGTAATTACTGGATATGGCCAGGAACGCATGGCGCTGGGATGACCGGACACAAAAAGTGCAATGATTCCTGTATGGTTAGCAAGTCAACAGCACCTTGGATGACGGGATGTGATGGCGCAGGGATGATAGGATGCGATGGTGCAGTAATTGCCACCAAAGTATATCAATACATTGGACATATAAACCCTCGAGTGTATGAGGAAGCAGCCGCCTTCATCTGCTCTCAAATGTCTGAGCCATGTTCTCCCTCCTCTGAGGACTCGAGCCTCGAATCTGTGGAATACGTCACAGACCCCAATGTCTTGAAGATGTTGGTGGCAGTCTTGACTGCACGTCACGGTATACTCCATTATCATGGCCAGACAGGGGAACTGACGACATTTCAATGGTTAGTTGCCTTCATGCAAAAAGACTACTCACTTACGTTGACTGGAGGCCAACCACCCAACAGGGACACAAGATACACCCTGCACGGTTTGAAGCTTATCGTGACGCACATATATTTCACCACCCCTGCTGCCTTTGCACCACAGGAGGGAGATACATTGAAGTATCAGTGTTTCCGCAAACTGCAGGAATATCTCAAGGGCAGTATGTTGCCAAATGCGCAACCGGCACATGCAGATACATGCATTTGTGAGGCTTCCTTCATTGAAAGGAAGCATTACTAATTTTTCATTTAGTAAACATTGAAAAGTTCTTTGGGAGAGCATGTGTACCTGCGATGTATTATCCTCAGAGGTAGGTGTTCAAATTGGCACCAACTTAAAATGCTGATCACATTTTAGATGTGATATATGTGACTACACACTTCAAATATACAATTAGAATTTTCGTCACCAG